GGTTATATATTGCTCTCTCTTTGGGAACTTTTTTTTTCTTCTTTCTGGGGGAAATTTGGCTCATTAGATTTAGATCCGATGGATTGGTCTAGCATCGATTTCAGTGAGAGATTTACCTGGTTGTCATGAAGCTGATACACCACCAGCAACAGCTATGACCAAGCTGGTTTAGCTGTTCGCGATGAATAGCCCGCTACCTACTAGCGTAGACTGAGTCCCCAGTTCCCAAGCTACTGGATAAGGAAGAGCCCTGTTCGATGTCGCAAATGTCGGTGTCCGCGTTGTGCCAGCAGTTTGTTTCAGTGTACAGAATAGTTTTCTTTTGTTCTTTTTTTTTTTCTTTCCTTCCGCTCACAGACTGCTGATGTCTCGAACAGTGAGTGAGACCTTGAACAGCGGGAGAGCGGCTTTGACGCTGTCTTGCGGTGAGTGCAACGTTGGTGCTTCTCGAATGTCGGTGGAATGTCGCAGTCCGAGTCCTAGATTTGAGATGAACCCGCTCTGCGATGTCCGCGGATCCTAGCAGCGTCACAGCGAGATCCAAAAGAGGAGAAGTCAGATTCAGTCGTGTGTGTGTGTGAATGTATGTATGTATGGTATGTAGCTAGGTATGTGTTTTGGAAAATGAAATGATGCAAACGATGGAAATGAGATGCAGTCATTCAATCAATTTTTTCGGCGGGCGTACACTCGATTTTGAGAACAACCGATAGTTTTCGTCATCGTCGCAAGCGTCAGCATGGCGCGCGAATGGCATCAAGCAGATAAGGGACCGAATGCAATGCTACACAAGCACCAAGCAACGTGAAGCTATTATTCGACGGCGTGCTGCTGTGCTGCTACTCATCATTCTCGTCTAGACCACCTTACCTAGGATTTGGACGGTCACCTGCCCGGTCATCTTTCAGCTTAGGTCATGTCGAGAAGGGTCCTATGAACTAGGTACTTTGTATGAGGTCTATGAGGTATGGTGCGACGAGAATAGTTAGACCATCGACAGTCCCAGCCAATGAGGGCACGACGACACATCCCGTTCGCCCAGGAGTGGCGCCCCTAATCCGGACAAATAATTCATGCAGTTCCCAATCAGGTACCACTGATTCACTAGCTAGTCATGGTTAGTGTACCTCAAGTCTGTCTACTAGGCGCTGCTAAGAGATTTCTTTTTACTTAGACACTTCTAAGGGTCCCTTAGCCGCATCCATAGCATAGTTGAGATTAGCTCATTTCGACCGCACGATGAGTTTGTATAAGTAGTTAGAGTGTGATAGGGCTCCGCGACACCTCGACTTCGTAGCGATTCCCGAGTTGAGCAATTAGAATAGTACTGAATACAGAGAGCAAGCAAGTTGTATGTAGTTAGTTTCTTGCGCTAGGTATTCATTCAAACATTCCTGTGACCCTTCACATGGGTACATACATACAAAGATCGGCATTTAGTGGTGACATCACGACAAGATGATTGCCAGATGCGGAGTAAATTCAATTTCGCTCTAATCCCGGTCAGCAGCCACGTCACCCCAGTCAAGCAAGGGTCTGGCCAGGGTCTGGCCAGGGTATGTATGCCACAGCACGTTCCAGGTTAAGTAGATTAGGTACTTAGTTAACAAGCCACACATGTTAGCTCTCAACCCTAACCCCGGACAATACAGAGAAGCTAGGTGAGCTACTCCGTAACCTCTGTCCGTGGATACCTACATACACAGGCAGAACATAGGTAACCAACGAGCTGGGTCCGGGATATCCGCTCTGATGCGGAGATATTTACCAAGTACCTAACTCATTCGAGTCTACATATGGCGATTACCATCACCCGAAGCTTGTCTAGACTCTATCTAGACTTACAAATGGTAGACTAACTACAGCAGTACTCGCTTCAATCAAGATCAGCTTGACAGGATGAGTTGAACTATCTATGTACCCATGCAAGCCCATACTAGGTGGTGCTTCTCAACTATCTACAAAGTAGAGACGAAAGATACGACGCAATGGATTTCCAAGTGGCCGAAATATCCGACAACCACTCCGGGTTCCCATGGCTTCATACATAAACATCGTCATGATGGTGTACCGGTTGAACGCATGTCTAGGAAAGGCATATCGATCTACATGGAGATAAAGAGCCGAGAGAAAAAAAAGAAAGATGGCAGCAAAAGTACATCATCATATACCCGCCCAGCATATGTAGTGTATCCGGTCTTGTCAATAGGATATACACTACAGCCACCGAACCTTCGGAGAATTATTCGGTGGGTCGTCAATAGTGTAGGTATGCTGGAGGAGCCCGAGTCTCTGGAACTGTCATCAATGGCTTGCCTGGGTACCTCCGACGGATTCTTCAGCTCATTACTTATCATGCACACAGCCGCTAGCAACGAAGACGACTAGGTATCCGAACGAACGAGCATGGGGCTCGGGATACGCACACCTCGGTCTCGCTCACGAGCGTGTGGAAGTTCGATGAGGACTCCGAGTGGGGGTGGAGCCTCTTCCGATCAGAGACGGTCTCCCACCTCAGACAGCAATAGGTAGATAAGCATCTACTGTAAGTTTGTCTGTACTACTGCAGTTGTCATGTTACGCTGCTGCACAGTCCACGTGTTAGTTCCATTATCTCGGGCATTTGAGAGAAACATTCGTGTTCCCGAGCCTTGGGAATACGACTATGCACCATGTATTAAGCCGAGTTGATTAACAAATCAACGTTCGCTAGATCTGTGCATACGGTTGCACAGCCGCAGCCCCGGCAGCTTCGGGGCGCCAGAGCATTACATTGATTGACGTCGGCAGTGACGGGGTCTCAGAACCTCGATGCCTAAATTATGAAACCTTAATAACGTAAGTATGCAGACATTCACATCCGAAATATCCTTGAGCCACCTAGGGCGCTAGTATACGTGTAAGCTAGGCTAGGTACTCCAAAAGAAAGCCAAGTGCCAATTTGCCTAGTGTAGGCAACAATGTGCGTCGCGATCGCGATCTCACGTGTGACAAGTTCAAGCCAGAGCAGCCCGCTAAAGAAGATTGGTACAGCTAACTCAACCCTTGTGCCGATTCGTGCAGAAGCGGAATTTTCAATTTTCCACGTGCCGCTTTGCGTTGTTGCCATGTCAACAAGCTAGGGAGCTGGAGCTAAGGCTGAGAGCTGAAACAAGAAGCGTGCCTGTCAGCTTACATTGCCACGAAAAAGAACTCACCGCGAAAGGGCGATTGCCAAGGATGTCTAATAAGTCCACCCGAATATTGGGGTCCTGCGATCGGCTGGTTCCATGTTAAAACACGTGTAGAAGGTTATTATTGTATGTGTGGCTGCGGCACGAACAACTAGGCCTACTTAGCTCGGTCGTGATCAGAGACGAGTCATACTGTACGCGTAGATTGGGTTGCTAATTAATAATTATAATAATTAGCAGCCTTACATAACCATTAATTACCCTTACATGCTTGTTAACAAGGTCTAACCCAGGAGTAGTCTAGACTAAATACCTACCTAAGTCACCATTTCAAGCGCAGTCTCAAAGGATCCGTCTAGTGTTTCGGGTTTATCGTATAGATTCGTATCATCACTATTGCTCACCAGGATTTTGCCTGCTTAGCTTAGCTAATTTAGCAATGATTAAGCAACGACCATGGCTACAAAGATCGCTTTGACCTCCATCGAAACACACCGTTCGATACTGAAGCGATTCGCTCGGGCATCATTTGATGCAGAGTTTCAACTAGTAAACATTACCCTATGGAGATACCTATGAGTAGGCAATAATACACTGATCGATAATAAGACCACTATCGTCAGTTGCAAGCACGCATAAGGGTATCGAAGAGATGTCCGAAAAGTAATCTCGACCATGAGTCACAGGAGACTTTTCAATGCGTATTTTCCCTTTTAGCCCAGCAAGAATCCCAATTCGCGCCAAATGACTACAAGAAGCTAGCTGCGCTCCAGTAAATTGAGGCCCGCAACGTGCAAAAGGAGAAGCCCTGCGCAGATCACGAACAGTGGAGACAAGAACAGAGCCGTCACTGTTCGAAACCTGGGACAACGGTTTTTATGCCTTACAGTACGTAGGCTAGAAGGAAAAAAGAACAAAAGTTCCTCCCCTGGGACCGGCAAAAGAAGTGATCCGTATCTTCGGAACCAAGTATCATCCTCGCAACTGGTGCTCTAGGTAATATAAAACTACTATAAAATTTCGCGTTACACATCGTGTCCAGCCCGGGTAATATTTTTTCTTTCTAGGATCATGCAACGGCTTCTCCCCACCAGGGTAGAAATTTTACGATTGGTCATTGAATCGAAACATCCAGCACTACGGTCATATATAATCATACTGTACGGCAACCCTATCTTGGTATCTCAAATTTGCGGCCACTAGGGACTAGCCATTGCATTTTGCCCATCATAGCGTCGGTAGATGAACGTCCAGCCGAAATTTACGGAGCCGAGCCTGGGTTGTGATATGACACAGAACAGTTCATGAAAGTAAATATCCTAAAAGTATTATAGTACCAGCAAGGCTCATTTTTATTACACGACTCTCCCTTTCAGACTGGATAGAATCCTACCAAAAGAAATTTAGTTAATACTTCATGCTTCGAGACGCGTAATTCAGCAATATCATTAAATCAATGAAACGCAATAAGGATTAAATATAGATCTAAAGAGCCAGGATGAATATGTCACTACTGACGCCGACGTATAAGGGCATAAAGTAGGATTCGCCAAGTATAGGTAATACAGATGTGAATAGTTATATGGAAATCGTAGGCATGTAAGACCTTGACAGGCCTCTAGGTCAAATTCCCAAGCCCTCAAGCATAAGTGAATCCTGGAAAATTGATCTCAAACGAATATCATGGCGAAAGCGTTGCAGCCCAGTTTTGGTGCTGTCTGAAGACATTCCGTCAACATTGCGTTATGTGTGGTGAAGTGAAGTCCAGACCTTTTGCCTAGTGACACGGATATAAGCTCAACTTTCCCCTCACCTGACCATCTCTTTGGTCCCATAGCTCAGTTGGTCAGAGCGTCGTACTAATATTATAGTTAAATATAAAATTGGTAAATGCGAAGGCCGTGAGTTCAAGCCTCACTGGGACCATTACGTTTTGCTTACATTGGTAGTTAAGTCCTTTTTTATAAAACCAGTCGCAACACAAAAACAATTGTAAATAGTTCTTTTATTGTTACTTTTTTTTATTATGTTTATAATTCTATTTAACACATATAAGCTAGTTAGTTAATCTATGATATAGAATTGCTTGTGTTTAATTAACTTTTTACAGATTTACAATTGCGATATAGATCTATATATATAGATAGATAGATATATATGATTTACAATTGCAAACTTAATGGATGTATAGATCAGAGCTGTCTTGTGAGTACCTGGTTAACAGCATGTAGTTTCCCATAGCTCCTCAGAATTTCCCGTTGCCATAGCATTGTCCGACCATGCTCTGAGTCTCCCTCCACAGCTTCGAGTCTATCTACTAGTTTGTTTATTAGTCGCCCTTGGGATATGTATCCTAAGCCTAAGAGGACTCGTCCGTTGTCGGTGTGACCATTGGGCAATACTAACTTACCAAAACCCATAGAGGTCGGTGATATTCTTTCACGACACCTTCATCGTGGTTATATTGTTTAAGCGTCACGCCTCTTTCTTAGTCGCGTTATAGTAACCATCATTTAGATGTGCCATATTCCGGAGGAAGTATTTATAATAGTGTGACAAGGAACCTATAGGAGTGTTACGGACTGCCAGATGTTCATACTAAGCGTTCATACGGATCATCAGGAGACTGTATGGACCCGTATAGACACCTGTACAGACACCCATATAGATAAAGAAGCCATTCCTGTATATAGGCAGTGGTTGACACTTGGAGTAGTTAGAAAGGCTTTGCGCAGCAATAGGAGTCTTTCACTAACCTAAAGTACAGGGTCCCTAACAAGGAGATAGATCTCTTTGATTCATTCCATCGGCAATATTAATATCACATGTCATGGATTATTAACTAGTTAACATGCTGCTGAAATTTAATTGTAAGACAGCTTGACTATATGAAACCCTGTTTTGTCGCAAGAATGAGCTAGTGATAGCTGCTATGATAAACAAAATTATAAACTTAGTAAACCATAACTTAGATATAGATATTGCCTCCTATAATCTTTATTCTACATGAGAGCGCCTCATGTGAGAACTCAGCTTAATTTCGCCCGGTCAACACAATACTGAGAATTATATAACTCCATCGATCAATAGTTTTCAACTAGTCACTATTGATATCTCAGTTGCCATGCGAACACACGCCTATTCTAATGTATTAAACTACGAAGTGGTACACAGATTCTCTGTGATCAATATAAGATAGGTCCTATCATCGACTCGTCCTTGAAGGATTCCTCGTACTAATTAATCAGACTAGTATTTTATAGCAGATGGTGTATGCATGGGTCCCTCACGAGCAACATAAAAGGACATCCAGAACACCTAAGTTTTATTAAGATGGAGTTATCAGAATTGTCCCCAGACGGTATTGGAACCCCTGAAATTAGAAATCTTACCCCGACGATTGCCTGACTACAGCGTGCCCCGCCTCCCCCTCCCGGAGACTTCGAATATAACATCTAATTGAGAACAGATCTTTCACATACGACCATAACCTCTAGAAAACTCGGGATCCCGTCCGCTCTCCCATAGATAAGCTAGTGAGTGCCGGATTAGTAGTTGGGTCGGTGACGACCAGCGAATCCCCGGTGTTGTATGTTTTGTTGTTTTTCCCTCTTTTTTTTTTTTTTTTTTTTCGGGTTTCTTCTGCCTATTTAATCAACAAAAGACAATTTATGATGTCCGTTCACAAGTGACAGCATTACCGCCGTAATAACGAAGCCTATGTGGTTTATGTGACGTCATTAGTCTACAAAAATATTCTCACAATCACCCTCCCCCGTGCAGCTTTTTACGTTCGCGACAATGATAACATTAGTACCTAGTGAAGTACGAATCAACGAAAGCAACGATACCGGAGTTTTTAAACTTCTAGACGTTAGAAGGGACGCCATTTAGCGGTGGCCCCGTGGACCATACGACCCGATCTAATCCAGAGGAGAGCCTACCTTATACTCATTTTAAGACCTGCGAGATACCTGGCCAGTGTTGGTGGTAATTCCATACTTCATTCGCTTCGTTCGAAGGCGAGAATTCGAAAACTGACTTCTATTCCATCGATAATCCGTGTACCGTCTCCCTCACGACAACCCGATCTTACTAAATGAATGGCCGGGAGTTTCGGTGCCTGTTAGAACGATTCGGGTGGGATCTACAAAATACGACAGCCGGTCGATTTGCACTTTCACTCGGTGCAGTAATAGCTACCATCGTTATCAGCCCGCTAATGAGCTTCCTACTGAGGCGGCAAGCCGCATTCGCATCAATAATTAACCTTTATATCATTCGTGTATTTCTCCTGGTCCTTGCGGGATTCCTTTCTATTGTGTACCGTGCAGACTATAGTAAGCCCTTCATTACTTATATGTGGCTTCCCGAATTATCCTATTGACCGTGTTTTGATACCAATCAAGCGATGTTGGGGGCTGGTCTCTGTGAAGGCCTTAAGCCAACATTACAAACTCTCCTTTCGGTTTCAACTCGATCAGAAGATATGCCAAATATTTTCGTAGTTGTATACATGTTAATTTTAGTTTTTTTAGGGAAATGACTGACAGACCCTTCTGTCCGCGCTCATCTCTATTGGTAGAGCTACGGCGACCTCGTCTGCTGGGTTTTGTTTTTTGGGGTCATCAGCATGTTCTCTTTGTTAACTGAGGTCACTTGGAGGCTGAATATTCAATTTTAGTTTATTTTTAGAATTATAAGGACTTTGTCATTTTGCGTTCTAAGAGGTGAGTGATATAAGTGCGTGTCGGGGGATAAAGTCAATAGAGGGAAGAAGGAGTGTTGCCGCTACAGCCCCTGGGGTGACTGTATTATTAAGTTATATTATATAAAGTGATAGATATTCCCTTTACATTGAGGAAGACCTAGGAATCAATGATATTGAGCCCTGCCCCTATACATACACCTAGTTGCTACCCTACTTCGACCTAAGTGCTACCCATCTTCACTCTGGAGTAAATTCTCTGATAGTGCGTGGTATCCCACTCAGAACAGGCGAGAGAATGACAAAAGCTAGAGCAAAATTTCATCTCAAAACCAGTCGGCTCCAGATGAGAAGGAGATGTTTACTAAGACGTCTAACTGGTACGGGTAAACCTTTATCTCCGGGTGTATCCTTTTTCCATGCGCTCTGTAGACACACACATACATATATTTCAAGAGAGAGAGACTGTGTGTAAATGACTATTCAAGAGCAATAGCTACGATTATATAATGCAATCTGATAAGGAAGGTCTTCGGACTTTTGAGCAAACCTGTAAGGGGCTGTCAATCCTCGCCCTGCTGCGGGGCATGGCAATATGACTTGTCGCCCTAGATTGAAATAATAGTTGGCCTCGGAGTCCGGGGGCTATGGCATGACCAGGCAGACAACATCGACACTTCTTTCTCTTGACCTGATCTGAGGTATAATTCATGATTCATACCATAGTTTCGTACAGTGACCATGAGCTCCACAGAATTCCCCCCGGTCCCCCCTTTCCATTCTATTCGCCTCGCCGTAGCCTCGGACATTGAACGCATCGCTGAGATAAGTGTCGATGCTTTTCGAGACTCGGAAATCTTTCGCTACGAACGGCCTCGACATGAGGAATTCCCGGACGACGCAGTGGCCTCATTTGCTAATATTTACCGTACTCAGTTACTTGATCCTCTGGCAGTAGTTGTAGTTGCTCTAGAGAGACCAAACTCCACCGACGGCGATGACGACGGCAAGGCTGGCGCATTCGACCAGCGTGTTGTTGTGGGGGTAGCTAGCTGGAGACTCCCAGACAAATCGCCGCGCCGGGGCCAGTTTGTTGTACCTGATGTGGGAGAACCACGCCCGGCACTTAATCGAGACCTCTGTCAGCATCGGTTGGATCTCTTCAATTGCATCACGCAGGAGACGGAAACTGAGTGAGTGGACTCTCAGTTGAAAGGCGATACTTTCATAGCGATGTGTCTATTGTTCTCCCCCATATCTTCCAAACAAACTAAATAATTTCTTCAATCCGACTAACGCGCCGTGGCTTTTCGTGATGAAGGTACTTCACCGGGAAGAACATCTGCGACAAGCTCGCCGTCCATCCATCATATCGTCGTCGGGGCCACGCGACCTCGATGCTCAAATGGGGACAACAGCTATGCGACCAAGACGGTATTGATCAAGGGGTCATTCCCTCACACATGGGCGAACCAGTCTATCTTGGGCTTGGCTACAGGGTGATTGGAAAGATGCACGTTCCAGATGATGGCAATGCGAAAGGGTTTACACAGCGAGTTACTGTCTATAGTGCTCAAGAGGGAAAGGCAGCAGGGGAGGCATGAAAGTGAAAAGATGGCCCTGGGAAGCGCAGTCATGAGTATCTAGGATGCTTAGATCAGCTACCAGCCAACCAATTGGCGCGGGAACCTCGTGCAATCTCATGGGCCCAGTTTTAGGTTTCTTTGAATAGCCCAGATTCTGGGGCATCTGAAATGGTGAAGCTGTTCTCATCGTTGTAGGGCACCGGCACCAGATATCGTAGGCATTAGCACGCCATTAAACCTAGCTGTGTCTCGGGACCGTTAGTTTCTCGTAATTTTGCTGCGAAAGGCCCGTCCTACTAATTTATCATAACTTAGCCAATTCAAGGCCATCTCATTAAAGGTTGGGAGCCGCTTGACCAGATAGCCACTGTCAGAACTCCGACTGGACCAGGGCTACACATGGCCACATCTCTCCTCCCTTGGAGTACAAAACGGGCCCACCTCTTGGAAGTAGCAGTTAGGACTCCTCGTGCGCCAACAAGTATTCAGGACCTACCTATACGTTGGTACCCGTATCGTAGAGCTCGTGACAGCCACTAATGTGGTGAGGGTAGTTTGTCAAACTCACTATAACTGTTGTAACCTCTATCTCTTAGCATATAAAGAATGGCTTTTGTATAATTTGAATTAGG